TTTTTTTTTTTTTTTTGAGACAGAGTCTCAAGCTTTTGGCCCTGTGTAGAGTGCCTGTGGTGTCACAGCTCATAGCAATCTCAAACTCTTGGACTCAAGTGATTCTCTTGCCTCCCAAGTAGCTGGGACTACAGGAGCCCGCCAAAATGCCTGGCTATTTTGTTGCTGTTGTGGTGGTGGTTGTCATTGTCATTTTAGCTGGCCTGGGCAAGATTTGAACCCACTAGCCTAGGTGTATGTGGTCGGTGCCCTACCCACTGAGCTACGGGCACCACCCAATATATTATGTATAATTTTTAAACATTATATATAATCCACAGGCTGAGTGTGGCTTATCCCAAATGCTTAGAACCAGAAGTGCTTTGGATTTGGGATTTTTTTTCATATTTTGGAATATTTCCATTATACTTACAGGTTGAGTATCCCAAATCTGAAAATCCCAAATCTGGATGACCCAGTGAGCATTCCCTTTAAGAATCATGCTGCCACTTAGAAAATTTTGAATTTTTGGAGCACTTCAGATTTCAGATTTTTGAATTTGTGATGTATATTATGTACTAGATACTAAATAGCCTTTCTGACATGATATTTGTTTACAAGCAAATCAACATAACAAAGCCGAAACAAAGTTGTCAGAATGACTATCTAGCGTTAGAATTCAATGAAAGGCAATAATGAGTTGGGTACACAAAGAATGAGAACTTATTTATGTCCAGGTATGCTACCAATGCTGAACTTCACTACAGCACTGGGGAGTTTGGGAACATGTGCATATAATTTATGCAGGCTAAAAATTCAAATGGAACAAAAACTTGGCTATAGGTTTTGAAATGTTTTTTTGTTTGTTGTTTGGTTGGTTGGTTGTTTTTGAGAAAGAGTCTCGTTCTTTCGCCCTGGTTAGAGAACAGTGGCATGGTCATAGCTGGCTGTAACCCTGAATTCCTGGGCTCAAGCAATCCTCCTGCCTCAGTCCCCTGAGTAGCCAGGACTATAGGTGAAGGCCACCATTCCCAGCTAGTTTTTTCTATTTTTGGTAGAGATGCAGTCTTGCTCTGGCTCAGGCTAGTCTTGAATTCCTGGCCTCAACTGATCTTCCCGCCTTTGCTTCCCAAAGTGCTGGGATTAGAGGTGTAATTCTCATACCTGGCCACATTAACTCTTTCAGTTGACATTATTCTATTAGTACAAAGACAAGGAAATAGATACTCCTACTCCCATCTTTTTTTTTTTAACCTGAAGCATATTAAAAATAGGGAATCAATCAAGTATCCTCATTGAAATATAAGCTAGTGGTCAGATTTGGTAGTGACAAAGAAGCTGGAAAATTTCTAGCACTCAATCAGTACTATTTCACTTCAAAAAGATAGCATTGGAGATCTGTGTGGCATTTCAAAGTATATACTTGTTTGAGATGAGATTTTTCTGTAACTTTTAACACTTAACATCAGGACACTGTTTAACCACAAGCAATAATAGGCTATTCATATATGTTGAAAAGTTTTCCCTTAATTGTCCCAGCCTTGGGGGTATGATTCTAGACTTTAAAGATATCATATTCATGAAGCATTTTAAGTAGCTTAATGAAGACATTCCAGATATCTTATTAAAAACAATAATAATAACAGAATTCCATTTATATACGCTTGAGAACACCTAGGGCAATTTAAAATTCCACATGAATTTTTTGGCCACCCTTTACAGCTCACATTTTAAAAATAAGACTCTTTCTGATGGCTCCCATAGCTCAGTGGGTAAGGCACCGACACACACCCAGCCTGGGCCAGCTAAACAACAATGACAACTACAACAAAAAAATAGCCCAGTATTGTGGTGGGTGCCTGTAGTCCCAGCTACTTGGGAGGCTGAGGCAAGAGAATCTCTTGAGTCTGAGAGTTTGAGGTTGCTCTGAGCTGTGACACCACAGCACTCTACCAAGGGTGACACAGTGAGACTCTATCTCAAAAAAAAAAAAAAAACTCTTTCTGAAATCTGGAAAAATAGAGTAATATATAACAAAAGAAATAGAGAAATTAGAAAGAAACCGTGTTTATGCATAAAACCAGCAAGGCCAAATTTCAACTTTGTTTCCTAGAATCTGTATTCCCTTAGTTCCTAGAAGGAAAGCAAAAGCATTATTGAATTCTTAACAAATGTTTACAGAGCAGACAATCATAATAAAGTCAATGGCAATCCTTGCCCATTCAAATTTGCCATGACTGAGTCAATAAACTGCCATCAAGATTAAAGGCAAATCTCTATATAATTTATCCTGTATGTTTCTGTTACAGATCATAGCTTTTATAATACGGTCTTGTGATCTGCTATTTGTGCCTGAGAAAAACTGTACTAAACCAGTACAGCCAAGTGGCTTACAAAGCAGGCTTTAAAATCTGACAATCTGAGTTCCAGTTCTGACTCTGACAGTTTAATAGCTGCACATGCTTAGGAAAGAAAATTCTTTAACCTCCCTGACTTTCAGTTTCCTTATCTGTGAATAGTAATGAGAGCCACCTCACAAAGTAGTGAAGTATTCAGTGAGATAACATGGGAAAAGTACTCAGAAGAGCGCCTGGCACACAACTGCTGAGTAAACATTAACTATTATTATTATTCTAATATATTTAATAAACAACAGCCGTAGCGAAAGAGTCAATGAATAGGTAAATTTTTTAAAGGTTTATTTTTCATGTATTTATTACAAAAAAATTCAAAAACTATAACTCTTTTATTTTAGATAATGGTATATTCTAAAAATTTTTTTTTTTTTTTTTTGAGACAGAGTCTCACTGTCATCCTTGGTAGAATGCCGGGGTGTCACAGCTCACAGTAACCTCAAACTCTTGGGCTTGGGCTTAAGTGATTCTCTTGCTTCAGCCTCCCTATTTAAGTAGCTGGGACTACAGGCACCTGCCACGACGCCTGGCTATTTTTAATTGCAGTTGTCATTGTTGTTTAGCTGGCCCAGGATGGATTCCAACCCGCCAGCTTGGATGTATGTGGCCAGTGCCGTAACCACTGTGCTACAGGTACCAAGCTAGTATATTTTAAATTTAAGAACTAATCTTATTTCTGGTATAGGAACTAAGAACATATTATGAAAACAAAAAGAGTTCATTAAGAACCCCAGTATCTGGTAACTCCCTTACCTGAGCTTACACACTCAGGCATTTATTAGCATCTGAGTTAGTATTTGTTAAGCCGCTCTTTTCAATACCTTCAGTCAGAAGAACTCCATGTTTCACTCCCAGGGCTGCTTGCAGAACAGTCTTTCCTCCCCAGCCCGGCAATCTCTCAGGTGTTATGGGAAAGGATCCTGCCTGCCAGACATGAACCAGGCCTCTTTCTTTGGATCCTTCTGCCTCTGTTGAGCTATAAACATCAAGAAAAATAGTTTACTTTCTTTTGTCATGAGATTGTAGCTTTTACATGGGATAACTGGGTCAGACAGTTTAACTACCATCTGTTGTGCACCTTGGTTATGACATGGGAGCCATGACAAAACAACTATCTATATAAAGGCTAGAGGATAATCTAAACCCACAAATTACCTATTTCCATCTAAGCAGCAAACAAAACCTGGGCTATTTTTGGAAGTTTTACGATGTGGTGGCATGAAATTTCAAGATTCTAACTTCCCAATACATCAACTCCTTGTTTAGATATAAAAGTTACAACACATCCCAATCTGAAGTCTCATTTTAAAATTTTAGTTTCTAATTGGTAAAAAGTGTTTGATGAGGAAGATACATGAAATAGAAATCCTTATTTCATTTTATGTTAAGTTTAAATATAGGGTATCTGGTTTGGC